ATGATACCACAGAGCCAGGCTGCTAAACTCTAATCCTGTCCCATCATCAATGCTGCTGCTCCCCAAAGTGAATAGTTGAGTCCTGATTGCCCCTCCCCAGCCCTGTGCCTAGCTCCCAGTAGCACTCATATTTCTAGTATGAATTTGGTGGGTTGTTCCCATTCAAAATAGGAGAGAGCTGGGCATGGTGGCACATGCTTGTAATCTCAGCTACTCTAGAGGCTAAGGCAGGAGGATGGCCAGTTGGAGGCAAGCAACCTAGCAAGACCTGTCTCAAAATAAATAATAAGAATGTAAACTCAGTGGTAGAGTTCAGCCTCCACAAAACAAACCAAAAACAGGAGGGAACTTGGGCTGGGTACTTCAATTCCTGCTCAGAGCTGCCACCTACATTCATGGCACAGGACAGCTTGGTCTTACCAAGGGCAGTCTATGAAGCTGGGGTGATCCTGAAGGAGCAGTTTCCCACTGGATCCTTCCCTGAGTGGCTTTTTAATTATTCCAACAGGTCACAGCCACCCATGGACTCTGTCACCTTCTAGGCTTCACACACAGCTCGGAGGAGGAGTGGCAGGAGGTAGGAGATGGCAGAGGCCCAGGCCTTGCTACTCCCATGCACCCGCGTACCCAATGGTCTCAGGCAGCCCACTCTGCTTTTTTTTTTTTTGGTTCTGGGGATTGAATTCAGGGGCACTTGACCACTGAGTCACATCCTCAGCCCTATTTTGTATTTTTTTACTGAGTTGCCTAGGACCTGTCATTGCTGAGGCTGGCTTTTCAGGAGCCTCCTGTTTGAGCCTCCCGACAGAGCCACTGGGATTACAGGCACATGCCACCACACCCAGCTCTTGACTGCGCTTTATTAAAAAAATAAAAAAAATGGGCAGATGCTTCTAGCAGTATTAGAATTAAAAAAAAAAAAAAAAAAAAAAAAACTTTTGAAAATTAAATGCACCTCAGCACCAGTAACTGCTGCGCCTGGAAAGCTTATCATTTAGAGATCATTTAGTAGGGATTGAGGCCCTTCTGTAAAGTGAAGTGACAGCTTTTTTCCTCTGAGGGCATGGTTTGGGCTCCGCATTTATGAAGCTCCGTGCTGCTCTGAGCACCAGTTGACTCAGGTTAAGTTTGTAAGCAAAGAGTCTTCTTTCAAAGACTTGAGGCAAGCACTCTACCAACTGAGCTATATCCCCAGACCATCAAAGACTTGAAAAACATTTTCCAGTTAAGATAAAAGCTGGGCTGAGGTTGTGGTTTAGTGGTAGAGAGGTTGCCTAGCACCTGTGAGGCCCTGGGTCTGATCCTCAGCACCACATAAAATAAATAATTAAAAGGCATTGTGTCCATCCACAACTAAAAAATATATGAAAAAAAAATAAGATAAAAAGTCCCCCTGGGCAGGGGTATAGCTCAGTGGTTGAGCCCTTGCCTAGCATCCGCTGGCTAGGTCCACCCTGGCTCCTCCCCCAGCCTCCCACACATTCCCTGCTGCCACCCCATTGCCACCACCAGACCTTGCCCTGGCCCTCTAGTGCCTCTCACCACCCCTCCTGCGCCCACTCCTTCCCTCCCTTGTCCCACCCCTTTCACATTCCCTGCTCTAGGGCTGCTCTTTAGCTTTGCTGGCAAGTTCTGCAGTCAGGAGCACAGAACTCGGTGCTGCCCTTGGGCCTGTGAGGGAGCTGTGAGGCCTGGCCTGCTAGGTCTTTGCCCACCAAGGGCTGCAGGGAGGGGCTTCCCCAGAAGGTGACCCCTGGGCAGAGTCAGGGAGGTGGTGTGAGGGTCCTGGAGGCTGGCCAGCTAGCCAGGGTTTCTGTCTTCCAGATGTACCGCCAGGAGGAGCAAGTGCTGGAGGAGTTGAGGCGTCGAACAGGAGCAAGGCTCCAGCCCCTGAGCAGGGGCCTCTTCTGATGCAGCGGAGGCTCCAGGTTCCAGGACTTGTTGGAGGGGTGTACCTAGAACCAAGGAGCTCCAGACTGCCGCTGTACTGGTCATGCTGTGCTGGGGGCCACAGAGGCGCCAGCCCATGCTGAGGCTAAATTCTAGGAGTGGAACTTGGTTTCTTGAACTACCAGAGAAGTATCTGTCCCTTTGTTTAGGACACAGCAGATTGTTTTCTTACTAAGCAGAATAGTTGTAAGCCTTTACAGTGGAGGGAGGGAATGGTGAACCCCATATGCTTCTTTAGGGTCTGCCAGTCTTCCGCCCTGAAGAACTGAAGAGCTTTGGTGAGAAGCTTTGTCTACCCCTGCAGCCTGCCTGGGAGTGCACACCACCGCCCAGAGCACCATGCTTCCTCCTTCCTAGGGACAGCTCCTGCAGATGCACATGCTGGAGAGTGCTGGAGTCTCACCCCCAGGTTCTCTGTGCCTGAGCCTTGCTACCCCTGAGAAGAGTGACTAGGACAAGGGTGGCCTGCCAGCAATAGGTGCACCATACTTGACCTGAATGGATGCCAGCGACACAGAGGCTCCTCCCTCTTATCTCCCCCAAGACCTCAGCTGCCTAGGACCACATGGCATGCAAGGGTGGAGGAGAGGAAGCTGGTGGGCTATGGCTCCCCACCACCACACCTGCCCAGTGCCTGCTCTGTTCCCTCCAGGAGATGAAGCACCAACGTCCTTCTGCAGGAAATCTCCCTTGGTTGGTATTTCCTGTTTATCCTCTGAAAATTGAAATAAGCCTGGAGTTGCAGAGCTTGCAAAGGCAGGGTTTTTGAACCTGGCCCCTCCCAGGTTCCTACTCTGCCAAATGGCTCAATAGGCTAGGTGGGACTATGGATCTCATGGCGGTAACATGTAGCCTCTTGAAGGCTTTGAACCATGAAACCTGGTGATACTATGATCCTAATCCTTGTGTCTCCCATTAAATGATCCAGAAGCACGGAGTGCCTTTCTGTGAGAAAGTTCAGTGGTCCATTTTCAGAATATAGTATTTAGTCTTAATGGGGATGTAAGATCCAACTGTGGCCATTTCAACTATAGCCCTTCACTTTTTGCACTCAATTTTAAAACTACCTAATCATGAAGATTGTAACCCTGAGCTGCTCCTGTCAGAGCCAAGGCAGTGCTGCATTAGAGATAAAAGCAGGCCGACTGCCCACCCAGGGGTGCTTGCTGTCAGATTCTCTTTGGTAGCACACCTTACCGCAGAAGTAAACTTTGCCTTGCCAAGTGACTTCTGAGCATGCATGTGATTGCTGTGGCATCCAGTGTTTAACGTTTTTCCCCCAACTCTACCTTTCTTAGCCTGGATTGTCCCCTGGCTCTCTGGATGTGGAATTGGCCGGCCCTGCTTCTGCAGTCACTGCTGACTGTGCCTGACCTACTTGTAGTTAAGATTGCTCTCAGTTTAATGTCTAATGACACAAATCAATAGAAGCAGCCACACAACTTGGGTCCACAGTCCTTTTGAAGAGATTGGGGGACCCTGAGAGGGTTGGGGCCCTGATGGGTGTGGTAGAAGCTATTATGTATCTATTTTAGTGCTGGAGATCAGACCCAAGGCCTTAAATATCCACACATGCCAGGCAAGTGCTCTACCACTGAGCCACATCTTAGCCCTTTATACATTCCTAAAACCCACCCTGTGTCTTAGCAGAGAGCACAATCAAGGGTCCTCCTAATGTAGATGCAGAAGTGTCCACTGTGGTGTGTCAACAGCTGTGGCCCAACCTGGCCACACAGGAAGGACAGTCCTCTTGTCTACTCCAGGAAGCACTTGGTCTCCTTGGCCCTTCATCTGCCTTGTGTCCCAAGTTGAGCCCAGCTAGTGTCGGGGCGTCTGGGATTCGGGTGAAAGCTGCATGAAGTCTGTGCTGAGCTGGTGCCTAGAGGCTCCTGCAGTTTGTGTGGTGCTCTTTCATGCCCTTTGGGTCATCTTCAGTGCCTCTCAGAATGTCATCTGTCTTACCGGCTACAGGTGTGTACAGTGAGCCCCTCCCTCACAGACCACAGGCCAGCCCAGCCGTAAGCAGCCCTGCGCCACCTGCCACACTGCAGGTCCTCAGGCCGCCCCTGCAGCTCCAGCCCACCTCGGGATCTTCTGGGCTCTCCAGCCTTTCCCTGCTGAGGTGCACAGTTCCTGTCCCTAGTGTGCTCCCGCAGGCGGGTCAGCAGCAGAGCTCACAGAGCCAGGAAGCTCATTCGGCCCTGTTAACTCAGTAAGGCCAGTCCATCCAGAGACCACCAATGTGGCCACATTTCTTCCTTTTATCAAGTTAACAACTATGTTGAGAGAGAAAAACAAAGGACATTAGAAAAAGCGTGGGGCTGGGGCTGTGGCTCAGTGGTAGAGCGCTTGCCTAGCAGGTGTGAGGCCCTGGGTTCGATTCTTAGCACCATATGTAAATAAGTAAATAAAACAAAAGGTCCATCGACAACTAATAAAATATCTTAAGAAAAAAGAAAAGGTCAGCATGATGCCAGGCCTGGTGGCCATGTCTGCAATCCCAGTGATTTGAGAGGCTGAGGCAGGAGGATGGCAACTGCAAGGCCAGCCTGAACCACCTGGGGAGACCCTGTCTCAAAGTAAAAAGGGTTGGAGATGGGGCTCAGTTTTGGAGCATTTGCCTTGCCTGGGGTCAGCCCTGGGTGGGGGAGAAAGGAAAGGAAAAGTTGGCCTGAAAACAGATCAGGTCGGGCCTTTCTGTCCGTGCTTTTAACAAGAGTAGTCTTTGGGATCACATTCAAAAGAGCGCCGAGGTGCCTCTGAGAGAAAGGGCTGTACCCACAGAAGCTGGCTGGGGGGAATGTGTCAACATGTGTGTTCCCGTGGGCGTCAGATCTTTCATCTGCCAGGAAGCTGTGCCTGGTAGAATAGATGACAGTCCTGAGAGGCAGTGAGAGCCAGGGCAGCCAGGAGAGACGCCCGGGTGTGGCTGTCAGCCCTGCTCATCTTGCTCCAACCAGGGGCCCTGAGGGTGCAGATGTCGGCACTCTGCTGGTGAAGAGCTTAGTGAGTAGGAAATTACCCTAAAAGAAAGTGAATGAACACTGATGCAGAATACTTAAAATCAAGACTTTAAAAAACAACATCGAAACATGAAGGGAACAAAATTCCACCAAAAAGAGTAACAAACAGCTTTCTGTAAAGCATGCGGGTATCATGTACACGTAAGAACCAGTGACAGGACCCAGAGGAACAGACTAGAGGAGCTATCCCCCTACCTCGCCCCCACCTGCTCTGCAGAAGGAGCTTCAGGCACTTGCTTTTGATTTGCAGAGATGGGCAAGCCGTTGAGCAGATCCGTGGTGCCTGCAGCCTATGCACACGTATAGGGCTTAACTTGAAGGGAACGGGAGGAGACTGCTTCACATGAATGACAAACAGGCCTTCCCACACCATGTTAGTGTGAGAGGTGGTGCTGGGGCTCAAGTGCAGTCCTCAAGCATGCTGGGCAGGCCCTCTACCACTGAGCTGCGTCCCCCACTCCAATTTGACTTTCTTATGTCTCCCCCATAGAAATGTTTAATTTTTTATGTAGCTAAAGCTATTTATCTATTGAGAACCCTGAACTGTGTTTTTCTTGAATTCTTTCCGGACGAACTTTGTGTTTCATCTGGGTGAGGCATTCACCTGGTTTTTCCAGTGGCCCTGGAGGGTGAAGACCTTGCTGCTTACCAAGCTGGAGCAAGGGGCTCACATTCCTGGAGCCTGTGAGGGTAGCTCACCGTCCATTGCCGCCCTAGAGGAAAGACAAGGGTGACCTTGGGTGGTCACTGCCCTGCCTAGCTCACAGGAACTTGCTGTGGGTTGGGGGAGTCACATGTGAGAAATGTGCCAGAACCCACCCAGCGGGAGTAATCCCAGTCCTGCTAGGCTGGACAAAGACCCCAGCCACAGTTACCTCCCCAAAGGGGGTCCATATGGCCTGGCGACTTAGGACTGAGGCCTACTATTTTCTGGCATATGGCAGGGTGTTTCCAGCTTCCTTTCAGACCACTGCCACAGTCTGCAGGCCTGAGCATGGGTGTCCATTAGGTGCTAAGGAGTGCAGAGAGGCAACCCAAACCCTATGGGTCCTTCTACTCTTACCCTCCAGACTTACGTGGGGCCAGCCACATGGCGCATGGTAGGCAGGAAGCTGTTGGCCGCTGGGAGGGCTGTGGCCGTGACCACTGGAGGACACGTGGAATAACCAACAGGGGTGCCAGGCATGGGGCTAGCCTGCAGCGGGACTGGGGGCGCATAGTGGTGGTGATGGTGCACTGGGGCTGGCCTCTGCCTCTGGGCTCTCAGGATGACCTGGCGTGCCCACTGCAGGTCCTGGCACAGGGGGCATGGCCCATATCAGGGTCACACCCAGCTGCCCTGGACACCTTCTTCCTGCACCTGCTCCCAGCTGGTGCATTGAGTGCAAGGGCAGGAAGGGGAGTGGGCTCTGAGCAGAGCTAGGGGTGCTTTCTGGGCCCAGTGGCAGGACCCATTCCTCCCTGGGGTGGGAATAGGGAGGCTGTGGAACTTCACAACCAACCCACAGACCCAGACCCAGAGGTCCTTCCAGAACTACAGGCACACACTCTTCTGGGGTCTACTCAGGTGGCCCCTGGGCACCTGTCCCACTAAGCCTACCTGCTGCGGGGTGTGTGGTCCCCCAGGCCCTACTGCAGGTGGGAGGGCTTTGAGTAGCATGTTTTGCATGATGATCTGGTGCATCTGCGCATTCTGCATCAACATCATCTCCACCATGTCTGAAACAACAGACCAGAGTCCGGGTGCTCTGCCACTCAGAGATGGGGCATGCTGATAGGCTCTGCCTCAGAAACAATAGCTTTAGGGCCTCATACTTGTTACAACAGCCTCCTGAGCACCAGAGAGCATTCCAGCATGTGTGCCTGTGCCCCAGGCAGGTCCCTGGGCGCGTTCTGATCTGGGTCTTCTGGTCAGAGGACGTGCATGGATAAGGTTTTGTGGACGGCACCTTGCTTGCCTCATGAGGGGCTGTGCATTTTGTCTCAGTGCCACCAGTGGTTGTGTGGTCACCCCAACTGTGTGTGTGTGTGTGTGTGTGTGTGTATATATATATATATATCTCCCTGTCCTACTCCCCAAGACCTCTGAAGGTGATCCTTCTTGGAAAAATGGTGTTAGTGGATTTACTTGAAGATTTTGAATCAAGGAGATCATCCTGGATTACTCAGGTGGTCCCTAAATCCAGTGAAAGTGTCTTTATAATGAGAGGGGAGCTGGATGTGTTGATGTACCCCTGTAATCCTGAGGCAGGAGGAAAGCAGGAAAGCAAGTTCAAGGCCAGCCTTAGAAATTTAGGGAGAGCCTGTCTCAAAAAAAAAGGGAACAGAGCTCAGTGGTAAAGAACCCCTGGGTTCATTACTAAAAAAAAATGGAACAGTACCAAACAAATATAAAATAAAAATAAATATAAGGGGCTGGGGCATGTAGCCCCCAGGGTGCAATCACCAGTACACCAAAATAACAATAACAGAAGAGGATGATTAGAGCAGACAGAGGAGGAGACCCAGACATAGGGTGGAGGCCACCTGGGAACACAGACACTGGAGGGACGCCCAGAGCAACGCCTACAGCCACCAGGAGTGGCAAGGGGCAGGAAGACCCCCTCCCTGAACCCCGCGGAGGGAGCACAGCCTACCTGCACCTGGGTTTTTGAGGTCTGGCCTCCAGACAGTGAGGGGAAGACTGTTCTCTGTTACATTACCAACTCGTGGTAGTTTGTTACCACAGCACAGGAAACTGACGTGCTCACCAGCAGGGGACCAGGCAGCAAGTTCACGTTTGACAATGTGGTGGGCAAACACTGTTTCTTCCCACAGCAAGGGTCCATGCCTTGTGCTAGAGCTTCTCATCAGCTTTGCTGAAGGGACACACCTCCTAGGGTCTCCCAGCCAAACATCTCCAAGCTTAGAGTGGCTGGGGTGGGGCTTGGACAGCAGGAGTACTCAGGAGCTGGGGCTGTCCAGGCCACAGGCCAGAAAGGCCTGGAAGCAAGGTGGAAAAGAGCCAGACCCCTGTGGCAACACAGCTATGGGGGGGACCCCTGATCTCTACAAGACACAGCTAAGAAGAGGAGAGTAACAGCCCCATGGAGCAAAGGCTCCAAGAAGTCCTCTGAGGCCCGGGGAGGGTCCAGCCCCCACCCAACAGCAGCAGAAGCAAGTGCCCAAGGAGGGTGGCTTCCCTGGTACCCCCTAGGGTTCCCTCAATGGAATCCAGTATATAAAGATCAGACAACTATACCAAGGGCCTGAAGAGGGTCCAGAGAGAGGCCCAGGCTGGTGTCACCTGCCTCTAACAAAGGGGACACACAAAAGTGTCCGTACATAGCCCAGGGTCCAGTTGTTGTCCTTGGCAAAATAATAAGGTGGGTCCCTAAATCACAGCACACATAAAAAGCTATTCCAGATAGGCCATAAATCTAACGTCAGCAACAGGCCAAGTGACAGAAGAAAACCAAAACATTTTTCATGACCTCCATTGGGTGGAGACAAGAAAGACACTGACTACAAAGGACGAGACTGGAGAGTGCAGCTCCATTACAGCAAGCGTACCTGGTGGAAGATGGCACGGAGAGGGTGGGCCTGCAACCACAGTGTCTCCTGACACTTCCCTCTTGTTACTAGACCTGCACCACCCAGAAATGGGCATGTCCAGTGTGTATGTCCACCACCAATGGTGTGAAACAGCGCACATCCACTGGAAAGGACAGTGTCACGGCTTCACAACACAGAGAAAAGAAAATGATGTAAAAGTGTGGGTGAGAGGCCCACATCCTCATCCCCAAAGCTTGCAAATGTGTTTTATTACACAGCAAAACAAACAAACAAACAAAAAACAACAATAACAAACTTTGCAGATGGGCTTGTTAAGAATCTGAGATAACTTGGAAGCAACCCAAATGTTCATCCATGAGGATGAATGGGTAAAGAAAACATGGTCGTCACACGGTGAAATCCAGCCTGTCACTGGCTACAACATGGATGAGACTTGAGGACATTATCCTTAGCCAAAGAAGCTAGTTTCGCAGGGACGAGCACTGTGTGGCTCCACTGAGAGGATCCCTCTAGAGCAGTGTGACTCGCAGACACAGTAGGCAGAGCTGGGCTCAAGGCAGGGACACTGCAGTGCAGGAGTGGACTTCCACACTACTGATCTGCATGCCTAATGACTGGCTACGATGGAAAAATTAATCTTATATGTTTTTACCATAGTTTTAAAAATAATTTTTAGCCAAGTGCAATAGCACACACCTGTACTCCCAGTAGCTCAGGAGGCTAAAGCAGGAAGATAAAAAGTTCAAAGGCAGTTTCAGCAACATAGCAAGACCCCGTCTCAAAACAAAAAATAATGGGGCTGGGGATATAGCTCAGTTGGTAGAGTGCTTGCCTCATATGCACAAGGCCATGAGTTCAATCCCCAGCACCACACACACACACACACACACACACACACACACAAAGTCAAAATAAAAAAGGGCTGGGGGTGTGGCTCAGTGGTTAAGCACCCCTGGGTTCAATTCTTGGTAGAGAAAAAAAGAAGTGGTGGAATAAAGCCACTGGAAGGAAAGCGAGCAACCAGGGCAGTGAACTTGTCTCCTGGCAGTGGGAGACACAACACCCGTGATGGTGCAGAAGGGTCCAACAGCACAGGGGAGCCAGACGGGTGCTTTCTGGGTGAAGCCAATCACACTAGCATCTGTTTTTGTGAGTTTGTTTTTTTTAAATATAACTTAAATAGTACAAGTACTTTCAAGATTTTGTTTATTTAGTATTTTTTTGTAGTGCTGCAGATCGAACCCAGTGCCTCATGCATGCTAGACAAGTGCTCTACCACTGAGCCACAACCCCAGCCTGAGATTTTGCATTTTTATATTCAAATATTTCATTGAGTTGGAATTAGTTTTGGCATAAGGAGTGGGGTAAAGTAACTAACTTTACATTCTCTAAATAGCTACTTATTAAATTTTTTTTATCACTGACTGTGAATGGCACACTTTATCTTGTGGCACAGAAGTATTCGCACCTCCAAGCACATACACACACTGTTTGCTTTTGAAACCTGACATACTATCATTAAAGTTCATCTGGAGAAAAAAAATCATCATGAGAAACAGGGCTGCACTGTGGACACCCAGCTGTGCCCTATCACACCCGGCATTGTCACGTGGGTCTCAGCATGAAGGGCACCCTGGAGGTGGGCTATGGGGCAACTTAGGATCAAGCCTGGCAATGCTGCAGTGTAGGACAGAGCTAGAGTAACTGGCCAGGTTGGTATCCATGCCAGGATAGGCAGGGCGCCAGGACAGGAGGTGAACACCTATTGGATGAGCAGCCACTCAACACCCAGGTCTGCCCAAGAATCCCAACACCTCAGTCATGAGGGGGTCAATGCAAAGGGAAGCCTCAGTGAACTACCACTGTGCCCCATTAAAATAGCTAAAGTTGAAAAGACTGACCACACCAGCTGTTGGGGTGTGTGCCTATAGTTTCAGGTACTCAAGAAGCTGAGGCAAAAGGATCACCTGAGTTTAAGAGTTCAAGGTCAGCCTGGGCCCATAGCAAAACCCCCATCTCAAAAAAAAAAAAAAGATCACACCAAGGGTTGGGGAGGCTGAGGAGGAACTAAAACTTTCAAACATTGCTAATGGGAATGTGGAGTTGTTCAGGCACTATGGAAACAGTTTGGCAGTTTCTTAAGAAGTTAAACATAACCCTATTGCATGAGTCAGATGTCTCACACCTAGGTATTTACCCTAGAGAAATGAAGAGCCACAATTACAGAGAGGCCGCCCGTGAATGCCCACAATAGCTGGAACCAGGAAACAACCCACGTGCCCATCGCCATGTGAACACGTAACTAACTGGCCTGTCAGGACCAGGGAACACTGCCTGTCAGTTTCAAGGAGGGGCTGGTGGTGAGCTCCGCAGCAGAGCATGTGCCTGAGACCCTGGTTCCATCTCTGCACCAATAAAAAGAAAAAAACTTAATTTAAATTTTAAAAAAGGTGCAACTTATTCTTTGTCACCCCAATAAGGTTGTTTTGAATATCAAGTATTTAGGTTACTTTACAAGAAGCAGCTTGACCAGGCCTTATATGCAGCTAACAAGGGAGAGTTGGGGTTGGCACTCTGTTCCAACTCCTAGTCCACTGCTCTGTCTTATGCTTTTAGTTTTCTTCCTTGGAGCTCAGAGATATCCTTTACAGAAGGGTCTCTTTGTTTTTTTCCTTCTTTTTTTTTTTTATAGTGCTGGGGATTGAACCCAGGGCTTTGTATATGCTAAGCACATATTCTATAATGGATTTCTTAAAGTTAAAATTATTTTCATGTTCAGTAGCCAGAAGCTGACTCTAAATGACTGTCCTGGTTGCACAAATGTTCTCTCTTTCAGTAGACAGTTCCATAAACCCATAGCAATATTAACACACACCACTCACCTTCTTTAATGCTTCCTGACCTTTGAGTGGGAAAGGCCTGAGGAGCAGGGATCTGTGTGATGAGTGGCTGCTGAGGGAGCTGCTGAATGATGGTGGCAGGAGGCTGGGGAACCTAAGAAGGTGATTTGCCACCTGAATTCCTCCTTGGAGGCACTGTCCTACAGTATCCACCCATTCCTTCACCCGTCCCCTCATCTCCATCTACTCATCCATCCTTCCACTCCTCCACCCATTCTTTCATCCATTCTTCCACCCACGAATCCATCTATCTACCCATCCACTCTTCCATCCACCCATTTATCCATCCATTGTATTTGAGCGAATGAGTCTGGGTATACTTAGGATGTAAGTTTTTGATATTTTCTTCTTTTGTGGTACTGGAAATAGAACCCAGGGGTACTTTACCACTGAGCTACACCTCCAGCACCCCTTTTTTTCATATATATATATGAAAAAAAAAATGTATATATATATATAATGGCCTCACTAAGTTGCTGAGGCCCTCTCTAAGTTACCCAGGCTGGTGTTAAATTTGCAATCCCCTGCCTCAGCCTTGCGCATTGCTGGGATTAATAGGTGCTTGTCCACCACACCTGGCAGAATGTATGCTTTTGATGATTCCCACATTACTTGTCATGAGCAGGGTGAGCTAATGCCTGGTTTCATTAATTCTGCTTTAATAGATGCATCTGACACTTGGCATGGTCAGTCTTTTCAACTTCAGCTATTTTAATGGGGCACAGAGGTAGTTCACTGTGGTTTTACTTTGCATTCACCTCATGACTGAGGTGTTGGGATTCTTGGGCAGACCTGGGTGTTGAGTGGCTGCTCGTCCAATAGGCATTTACCTCCTGTCCTGGTGACCTGCCTATCGTGGCATGGATACCAACTTGGCCAGTTACTCTAGCTCTGTCATATACTGTAGACATGTGTGGAACTTGTGCAGATAACCTCTGGTTTCTCTTCTGAGTGAAAATAAATGTACGGCATTTTTTAGTGAACACCAGAAACACCTGTTTTAACCTTTTCCAGAAAACCCAGCATGACCTTGTCCCTCTTCCTCCACTTTCAGGAAGTGTGGTTCAGCCCAAGGACTGGCAAGCTTTTCCCACAGTGGGCCAGGTAGTACCTTGTTGGGCTCGTGGACCACATGTGCTCAGTTGCTAGTGCTCACTCTGCCATGGGACCTTGAGAGCAACCACAGACTGAGCTGACCAGAGCCGGGCCCCTACAACTCACGAACACTGAAATGTGCATTTCTTATCATTTTGATGTGTTACAAAGCATTATTCTTTTATTTTTTCATAAACATTAAGAAAATAAATAAAACTGGAGCTAGGAGTGTAGTTCAGTGGTGGGAAACTTGCCTAGCATGTGAAAAAGGCCTTGGTTTGATCCCCAGTCTGGGAAAAACAAAACAAAACAAAAACCGAAAAAAACAAGGCACGCTGTGGCACACAGTTGTGATCCCAGCTACTTTTAAGGCCGAGGCAGGGGGATCACCAATTCAAGGCCAGCCTGGGAAACTTAGCCAGACCTTGTCTAAAAATAAAATAAAACCACAACAGAAAAGGGCTAGGGGTGTAGCTCAGCGGTAGGGTGTCCCTGGTACCACATTTAAAAGGTGAACCTGCTCTGCAGCCACCGTCGGCTAGCCCTGGCTCTGTGGATGAGGCAACCCTGGGGTGGCTGCTCCTGTCCCAGCTGCCAGATGTCCCCCCACCCCTGCTTCCCCCACCAGAGTTGCCTTTTCCCCTCACCCCCTTACCGGGTGCTGGATGATCCTCAGAGGCTCAGGGGCCTGCAGGGGTGGAGACGCGGCCTGGTAGATGCCCACGGGAGGCACTTCTGGGTGCAGGGCTGACCTGTGGGCTCCTCCGGGTGGCCCCCTCCAGCAGCGGGGCTGGGGGTGCTCCTCTAGAAGCTGCTGCTCCTGAAAGAGCAGCAGAGCCTACTGTGCCCAGAATGGGCCACAGGAGGAGCTTTGGACCAATGTGGACACGGGGTGCATGGGACTGCCACCACCACGGCCTTCCTTGTCCCCCACCTGCCCTGGGCACGTGGAGCCTGCAGCTGCTTAGGCCCTCAGCTCAGGTTGGAGGCCCCAGAACTGGAGCTGGCAGAAAAGTGCAGCCAAAGGCTGGTGTGGGTGTGGCACATCTGCGTGGAGTCTGCTTCCTCTGAAGTCTGTCACATTTGCAGTAAGCGTCCGCCTGTCCTTTCCCAGCCGGCAGGGCTGGGTGCTCTTCAGGCAGCGCCAGTGTCTGCCTCACAGGCTGGCAGCCCACCTCCTGCCCAGGGCGTGCAGGGCCACACTGCCGCAGGCACACCCCTGGCATGGCCAGTGTAGCATGGAGGGCCTGGGCCTCTCACATTCCCCTTCCTGTGGGGTTGGGCCCTGACTCAAGACTGTCTCCTTCCATGTGTGCAGCCCAGCCTCGAGAGCAACAGGGGCCTGCAGCTCACACCTTCTCAGGGAGGTCACCTCAGGGCTCACAGTTCAGTTTCCCACCTACAGTTTAAAACCACCCGGAAACCAGCCTGAGTCCGGAAGGGCCTCTCGGACATGCTGGGTCTGTGTGTGGAAGCCAGCTCCTCTGCCGTGGACCATGGGGAAGGTGCACAGGCTTACCCAGAGTCTCTGTAGAAGGTCCTTCCTCCTCCTCAGAGCACGGGGCAGGGCCTCGTCTGGCCTGGCCTCCTTTCCTGGAGGGAGACACGCCCTTGCTTATTGAGGAAAGCTTCATGGCTGGTGGTCCAGGCTGTCAGGCACATCACTGCAGACCCTGTCAGAATGCCATAACCTCCCCACATCCTGGGTCCCCGGCCCCTGGCCTCCACGAGCATTCATCCTACAGAGGGAGGGACCATGACCAGTGGTGGGGAGGGGATGGGGAACTCAGTCTTCAAGCTAGGGTCTGGAAAGGAGCCAGGCGTGACGCAGGGCAGGCCCCTCTGGGTCCCTGCAGGCCTGTGGGCTGAGGAAGGCAGGCCTTCTACGGGGCTGGGTAAAAACCTCAAAAGCCTATTTTCCACCACCTGTGCCACCAAACCCAAGCTGTCTGGAGAGGACTGGGCTGTTCACCCAAGTATGGAGGAGAAGGCTGCTCCCCAGAAATGGCTATGGAGGAGTCCAGTCACCCCAGTGTCTTGCTGGTGCCAGGCTGCTGAGGATACCCCCACACACTCTGGCATACTAGCAGAGGCTCTGCTGTGCAGGACCTGGTCACATGGCAGGGTCTGCAATGTTCCATCTGGCCTTGGCCTCAGGTTCGGCCAGCCGCCCTCTGGGTCCCGGAGCCCACAGCATGGCTGTTTGTTCCATGTTCCAAAGAACCAGACCCACTCCTCCTCAGCCCCTCCCTCAGGTGTCCTTCAACCTGGATTCTGTCCAGTGAGGACACCCCCATCTTGGACAATTTCAGGGGTCTGGGATCAGAGCAATGAGGGTCTGGCCTGTGGGACACCTCAGAGCTGAGCCATCTGGGCAGGCTTCCCAACCCATCGACAGGATGGGAACATGCACGTACCGCCTGGGACCTGCAGGCCGAAGGTGGAGGATGCTGTGTTACAGGGGAAAGCAGAGTCCTTTCAACTCTGGTGTGAAGTGAGAGCACTAAAGAAAAGGGTGGCTTCTGGGTGCTGCCCCATTGCCCTCCCCCGTCTGCTCCTGTGCTAGTCTGGGTAGCTGGGAGCAGCCCAGGGCTCTTACCTGGCACCGAGAAAGAGCCTTCTGAGTCCCCTCCCATGTTCTCTCGCTCTTGCTCCAGCTTCTGTGAGGAACAGAGGCTGGTGGTGACGTTGGCCCCAGGTTGGTTAGCGTGCTTGCCTGGGTGCCACCCGTGAGTTCTGGGGGTGCCCATCACCCAGACGGAGGTGGTGGGGGCCGGAAGAGGGTGAAGTGGGTGGACAGGGGCCACGCTGGTCATGCATTCAAGTCAATGCACCTACTCCTCATTAAAACCAGGGGGATGCTGGGTGTCGTGGCGCACACCTATAATCCCAGAGGCTCCAGAGGCTGAGACAGGAGGATCAAGAGTTCAAAGCCAGCCTCAGCAAAAGCGAGGCAATAAACAACTCTGAGAGACCCTGTCTCTAAATAAAATACAAAATAGGGCTGGGGATGTGGCTCAGTGGTCGAGTGCCCCTGAGTTCAATACCCGGTAACCACCCCCCCAAAAAAATCAGCAATCCCAGGGGAACCCTCTGATGGGCCCTTCAGGCACACTTCTGAGGAGTGGGCCTTGTGGAGACTATCCTGGTGAGACCCCTGTGGCCTGGCCAGTGACTACCCTGATTGCCACCTCCAGGACCCTGCACTGAGGATGCAGAATTGGTGAGAGGGAGGCACAGGTGAGGAGCAAAGCAGGCAGAAGGCACGGAGGGGCCACCCTGGGCACAAAGGTCCCTGTGGGCCAGTGCTCAGTGACCTGGAGAGGGATTAGAAGGGAAGAAGATGGGGCTCGATAGGCCCAGTGCTGAGGTCTTATGTCTGGGGGCACCAGCCAGCCACGGTCTCAAAACGGGCCCTTCCCTGGGGGCGCTCTGTTGGTAGGTGCTGGTCTCCTTACTGGAGAACTAAATGGTTCTGCCTCTGTGCTAAGAAGTCAAGAAATAGATTCATGAGGCTCAAAACCCATGGGAAGGGTTTGCTTTGAAAGCAGGAATGTGCCCAGATAGAAGGCAGAGGCAGAGGCTCTGGGAGCAGCGTCTTGTCTTCTGTCGTTTAGCCCAATGCTGGACTGCCTCCTCTGGGGTCAGTGCGGCAGTGGCCTGGCTCAGTCCTACCTGCTCCAAGAGACTCAGTGTCAGGCGGGTGATCTGGTCTGCCACTGATGAGTCCAGCATCATGGGGACGAGTGAGGTGACTGTGGAGGGCAGGAGGCCGCGGCCCACACTCTGTAGCTGGTCCTCAGATATCTGCAGCAGGGCCAGCTGGCATGGTGGCAGGGCTTCCCTGAAGTGGGCTTGTCCCCCTCCTGGAGGCTGGCTTCAGGATGGGAGGAGAACGTGCAGAACGACCCCACGCCCCTGGACTGCTGTGTCCGGAGCCAGCCCTGGGGTGGTGTGGCAGTTGCAGGCTTGCAGGACAGAGAGGCTCTTGTTGCCAGGTTTCCTTCGCGGGTTTTGTATTCCCAAACAGAGTCACCTGTGAACGCAGATGGGCAGGGGTGGCAGGCAGGGCTTACTGGGAAGACAAAGGGGCAGCCCTGGGACCAGAGAGACGGAATTCTAAACCCCCTTCCAGCACCCCCTCCCCCAGACAGCCTGGAGGAGCAGAGGAGGGAGGTCACCCCTTCCTTTCTATGGCCCCCTGGGGCATACAGTGCACCCCTCCACAGACCCTCAGAGTAAGAAGTCAGCCCAGCTGGACTCCTGCAGGACAGTGGCTGGGGGCCCACCTGAGGACTTCAGGAATCTCTGGGCTGTAGAAGGGGCAGGACAGGAGGGGCTTGTGCTGGGAAGCACCCCCACACACAAGCAAGTGGTCATCACGTGGCACAGCCGGGGGCCATCCCTGTGGGTGGGGAAAGCTCTGTAGTGACCTAGCCCAGGAAGGGGCCAAGCATGGGTGGAGGGTGGTTTGCACGTGGCAGGTAAGGAGGCCATGAACCAGGAGCTCCAACCTCCAGACTGACAGATGAGCTGGCTTGAAGTGAGAGTAAAACACAGGTGTGAAATCAGGCAATGGGAGCAGCTGAGTCAGCCCTGTGGACTTGAGGAGTGCCCTGGGCAGGGCCAGTATCCCTGCAACATTACCCACCTCAGAAACTGCATCAGATCCCTGACATTGCCTCAGAGCCTCTTAATTTGCATTCATGGGTTTATAGGTAGCATGACCTGTTCTGATTGGCATCCCTTTGAGAACCTCTGCTGGACATGGGAGGACTTAGGGCAGAAGTGGCCATCTCATCAAATCAAGCCCCCAAAGAAGCTCCTGTGATGGTATCTGTTGGTGCAGCTGTAACCTGCTGGCCCTGGAGCTACAGGCTTGACACCTGTGTCTACCCCGATACATCTTTGCTGTAGAGGGGTAGGACCTCACCCTCCTGGGGGTACCACCTGCCTTGCACCCCATAGGGTGATGTCTTGGGGTTCTCTCTGACACCCCTGGTACCAGCAGACCTGGGCCCACAGTTGAGATGCCAGTGCATGTCCACAGCATTCCCGATGCTGGGAGCGTTAGGAGACATTCAAATGGGTGGTCTGAGTGTACACAAGACTAGGTGATACAGTCAAGTAGCTCAGAGCAGCTAGGAGTTAATCCCTGTGACATCCACAGCATCTTCCTGTAGGTATGGGTTGTTATGCAGGTTTCGAAAGTTTACTTGTTTATTTATTTTATACAGTTGGTCTTGCTATCTCGTTGTAAGGCAGGCCTAAGATGGCTACATCTAGGATCCCTTGCAGAGACTCCCTGTTAGCTACATTTTAGCATGTAGTCAAGGCCATGAATACCCTGATCCAGACACTCAAAGTCATAAATATCTGCTTGTTAGCATGTGCCCATTTCTATACCTGTTGATACTGGGCCTTCTTTGTTTAGCCTGAACATAAAAAAGGCCTAAGGAAAGGCCCAGGGGTTGCTGCCTTCTAATAAAGCATGTCTGCTATCCCAACTGCCCTCACATCTTCCTTCACCTGCCAGGATGATGAATGTTTCCCAGGTCTGGGCCACTGCAGAACACTTGTCCAGGCTCAAGCAATCTTCCTTCCTCAGCCTCCAGAATGCTGGTACTACAGGTCCCAGTGCTTTAGATACTGAAACACATGGACAGATTCAGGACAAATATGGGTTCCTGTATGTTCTTACAAAGTCTGATCCTGCGGTCTTTCTAGCCCCCTTCCTAACAAACCCACTTCACCCAGTGTTTGTGCAAACAGTCCAATTCCACATCTGGGAACCTGGAGACTCCGCTTGCTACTGGAGAGCTGTGATCTGACTGGGAGGAATGCTTCTCGTTGCTGGGTTTCCAGGGATTCCCGAAGGTTTGTTTACACTGTGGTCCCTTGGAGCTGCAGGACCTGCTGAGACTGAAGGCCAAGCTTGTCAGCAAGGTGGCGTCTCCCAGTGCATAAAGGGTAGGAGACAGTTTCATTGTTAGTTTGTTATCTGAGAGGGAGCAAACAGCACCTGGCCCTCCTCACCAAACGTATCCAAGTGAGGTCATGGGAATAGAGGAACCGAATAAAGAAACACACTGTCCTGTCACCAAGGACAGATGGGTGATGTGTTGAATGCAATTAGACAATGGGGTTTATATGAAGGAATATTTCAGAAGGGTGGGGCCTGCACCAGGTCCTAGGGTTGCAGTCATTTGGAGAGCTGGTCCATCCCAACAGACTCACCTGGCCCAGGCACAGGTGTCTCACGTGGAGGATATCAACAGGCAAAGTGTGCAGTGCATCCCTGACCCCATTCCATCCTTTCAGAGGGCATGTCTTTCTGGACAGGCTCTGAGGGGACTTGCCTCCTTTTAATACTAAATGGCATAAGCATCACTGAGTCTGGTGCCCATAGCTGTAGGTGGGTCCAGCCTGGCCATCTCCAGTGGCAACTGACATGTGCACAGAGAACAGCTGGGAGAAAGCAGTACAGCTTCCCCTGAGCTGACCACACCAGAGCATCTCCCTGCTTGTCAGAACTGTGGCTGTGGGGAAAAGCCTGACGTCACCACCTGTGGACACATGGGTCCCAGTGAAGCCTGAAGCTAAGAGCAATGATTTCATAAAATTTCAGACTCCCACACAGATGATGAATTTATAACCAAGCCACATTACTTCAAAAAAATCAATAGTTCATTTTTTAGAGCAATTTTAGATTCACAGAAAGATTGAGGTGAAAGTATATCACAGTCTTTTATTTTTTTGGGTACCCAGGATTGAACTCAGGGATGCTCGACCGTGTCGTTTTTTAAAAAACCACTTTGGGGCTGGGGTTGTAGCTCAGTGGTGGAGTACTTGCCCCTCACATATCAGGCACTGTTTGATCCTCAGCACCAAAAATGAATAAGTAAATAAAGATATTACATCCATCTAAAACTAAAAATATTTTAAGAAAAACCATTTACAATGTGTGTGGAAATATTACTAAGTAAGATCCACCCAAGATCTGAAGCAACCAGGACTGTGAACAAAAGCTCTGAAGAATTCCAAACAGGCTGCACATGGTAGCAGGCATGAGTTTATTAGAAGCAAAGGCGAAAGGGGACATTTTCAAGGTAGAGTGGGTCCTCTCAGAGAGGAGAGGGACTGATGCTCTCTCCTGTCCTCGTTTTTTTGGGGGGAGTTTCTAAGTTCCACCCAGGTTAACCTCTTCAATTTGACTGACAGTAGGATGACATCAGACTCCCACATCCCTACTGCACATGGTCTAACCAGGGAGGAGAGATTTTACTACTCTAACATACTAAAATCGAAGGCATCTCTGGTTCACCTCGGCCCCCACTGGCCAGTTCTAATTGGAACCATTTGTTATAGATTTATGTTTGGGAAGTTTGTTTTTAATTATCCTGTTCCCCTGGGTTCTGGAATCTGTGGTTAATATAAAGGCCACATAAGTCCCCCAAGAACTTGTGTGGAGGAGCCTTTCGGGATGGTTTCTCTTGCGGATAACAGGCTGTTCGTTGAGCAATGTAGCATATCCTATCGATTAAGCCAGGTAAGGCCACAGTGGTCTCAGGCAAATTGTTTTTTAAAGGAAAGCAGGTGGGGGTCAGCAAGAGAGGCCCAGTCTACAGAATTATCCCCTTAGCCTTCTGTTCCCACCGCACATGTCTGCCTGCCACCTATCAGGAAGATTTCAATCTTTGTGCTCCTCTCAGGAGAGGCTGTTGGACCCCTAAACTCCACCTTCCCTCTGGCCACTTAGCACTGGGCGCTATTACTCTATCACTTAACAGCACCTTCACCAGCGTTCTCGAGACCAACGCACCCCACGGCAGGTCGGCGGCTCACATATTCCAGTATGTGGAGCCATCCAGGAGCTGGGGGCTGGTCACACGTGCCTGGGGAGAAAAGGGGCACGGTTCGGAGGCCCTCAGTGGCTTCCTGTCCCTGCCACTCTTTTTGAGTAGGGTCGCGGTCCTGGTTTTAGGCCTCACTGAACTGGTAATTCTGGCTGCTTCTGGCCTTTGGCTCTTGGCCTTTGGTTCAGCGCGCAAGAAGACATCTTGGCAGGTGCAGAAAAGGTCACACGAGAGTCTGGGGTACAGGGTGGAATCCAAGGGCCCGGCAGGTGGCCTGCAACTTGTGGGGTGCGCAGACTCAGAACTTGCCTAGAAGAGCAAGAGGGTCGGGGCCCTGTTCCCCGGGTCGAAGACTAGTGCGGTCGAGGGAGCCCGGAGGCTAGCGCAGTGGCTGCAGCCATCCTCCTGCCCCCGTCCCCAGGCACTGACTCTGCAAGCCGGGAGGTTCCGCGGACAGAAACCCGCGACCCGCACCTCCTGACGAACGGAGAAGATGCCAAGTGGGGCGACCCACGACCGCGCGGAAGCCTGGGCAGCAACGGGCGGAACTCTCGGGGCCGACGCGGCCGCGCGGGAACAGAGGCGCGAACCCTCGCTGACAGCGGACCAACCACTGCGAATACCAGGAGCCCCGCGCTCCGCTCATTGGTCCTGCCGGAGGAGGCGAGCGCACTAGCGCGCTAACCGAATGCCGGAGGGGCGGATCTCTACGAAGCCGCTCTGCCAGAGCACGCATGCGCGAGATGGCACGCGGCCCGTGATTGGCGGCGCTGAGCAGCGGGGCGGGGCCACGGCACTGACAGTTGTCGGGGGGAGAGGGCGAGTCGAGCCAGGGGGAGGGAGTGTAAATAGAGCGAGGGCGGCGTGGCGGCGGCCCCGCCACCTCTGGGCGACCCGCGAGGAGCCCGAGAGAGATGGACGAAGATGAGCAAGAGCAGCGGCGCAAGAAGGTGGAAGCCGGGAGAGCGAAGGTAAACGGCGGCGCCCTCATCTTCCCCGAGCTGCCACGAGAATTGCCCAGGTGGCTCTGGTGCCAGCCACCGCCACTTGCCAGGTGCAGACGCGGTCGGGTGGTGGCCATGCTGATGCCCTGCCCTTCTCGTCGACTTTGTTCCAACCCCGTTCTGGCCGCCGCCATCTTGAATCGGCCGCCCTGGCCCAGACCCGCCCACTCTGCGGCCGCAGCCTATCAGCGGCCAGGATGCGCAATGCCTCGTGGGCGGGTCACGCCGGGGCGGCGCGGGTCACGCCGGGGCGGCGCGGGTCACGCCGGGGCGGCGCGGGTCACGCCGGGGCGGCGCGGGTCACGCCGGGGCGGCGCGGGTCACGCCGGGGCGGCGCCTGCACCTTGGCTCGGTGCGCACGCCGGCCACGCCCCTGCGTCCCCCGAGTGGCGTGGTCCCTGGTACTGGTGTGTCTAGCGCTCTGAGGCGCTGCACCCCGTTAGCTGCCCTAAGGCTTCTCTGCGCGCCCGTCGTTTTAAACAGCATTCACAGTGTCCCTGTCCTGTAAACGTGCTGTCCTTGACTCTACGAAAGTCCCCGGTGGTCCCCGGTGCTGAGGGGCCTCAGGTTCTCAGAGTCGAGTGCTTGTCACCTCCTCCTGCCCCAGTTCTTCGGTCAAACGGAAAAGTGCTCCGTTTGGACCTGTATGGGACCTCTGGGGGAGTAGGACAGGCGCAGGATGACTCAGGCCCCGCAGGCAGACACGGCAGCCTCCCCGGCTGTGGGACCCCGGAGGTTTCCCGCGCTGCATGGCAGCCCGGGGCTGGGTGGAGCACCACGACCTTGCTGTGCCATCTCCGCCCTCGTTTTCCATGGAGTCCCTGTGCTACAGAAACATCCAGAATACACTGGCAGGCAGGTGTGGCCAAGACAGGACAGCAGTCTCCGTTGGCTGGGTGACAGGGGACACAGCGGCCTCATTCAGCCACCTGTGACAGGCTTCTGGCTGGTCAGAGCAGGGGCTGGTGACTTTTCCCTCCCTCTACACGTGCGTGCATGTACCCAGGTCCCGCGCTGAGCGAGCCCAGAGCGCAGCACTGGAACTGACTAGGGCCCAGCTTGTGTGGTTGGTAAACTGCAGTGGAAGTGCTTGAGGGAGAGGGAGCCTGGGAAGGACCAGGCCAGAGGTTCAGTGCTGCCTATGGGAGCTCTGTCCCAGATAGTGGAGGGCGATGAAATAGATGAGAATACAAGGATATGAAGGCAGCTTTCTTTCCCCCTTTAAATGATCTTATGCCAACAAAATTGTGTACTTTGGTTATCATTTATATAAATGTTAAGCGTGTTTGCTTGTACAGCCCAGATGTCATTTGAGGGAGCAGAGGACCCCTCTTGGACCCATTCCTTTTGAATGAGGTGTGTGTGCGAGCTGGTGCATGAGTATGGTTGAAACTCTCAGGTCTAAACCTGAACAGGGCTGGGCTGTCTACTGTTGGGAGCACTCTGTGGCGGTCCCTGGTGCTTTGGAGAGCTGTGTCAGGAAAATTAGAACATCAGGTTCTGTAAAGGGAGACGTTAGATTGACCTCACTTAATTAATTTTTTGCTATTTCTGTATCATGTCTTAGAATCTATGGCTAGGAAATTTTGGCTGGGTGGTATATTTCCTTGATTGAGAGAGAATGGGGGCAAGAATGGAATGGTTTAGCTTTTAAATAATTTTGAGCCTTAAATATATCTTGATTAAGCTCTCAGCATTTTAAATCGATGTATTTAAAATTTTTTTTTCTCAAAACTGCCAAGGGTTAGAAAAGCTATTCTGCCTGTCAATCATATCTTTTTTTTTTTTTTTTTTATCTGTAACTAGGCCTAACTAACAGTCCTCATCTGTAGGCTGTATGTCACTCAGAACTCAATGGTGGTCTCATAGTTGTTAATGAAGGGTTAGGATAGTGGTCCGGTGGCCAGGCGTGGCCGAGTGGGCCCACTCTGTCGGAGCTGCATGCTCCCCGCCGGTCTGCTGACCTTGTGGGTCTGTTACTTCTTTCTCACTTACCTCTGCCTTTACTACTTCTCCACCTTTCTGCGCAGCTTGCTCACTTCCGACAGAGGAAAACAAAAAGTGACTGTACGCATTCGAAGAAAAAGACGTCGAAGAGGAAGGGCTCGGCTGTCGATGCGCCTGTCCCGGAGGAGGGTCCGGTAGCTGCCCAGGACGGCAGGCCCCTGGGAGCAAGGGATCTCGGCAGAAGCACGCCATGCAGCCGCACCACAAATGGGGCCAGAGGGGCACTCTCAGCTCAGGTAGATTGTCCAGTGTTGTGTTTTCACATTCTGCCTGCCTTCTAGTTACTGCTAATCTAAAAGTGGTCCAGTTTCGCCTTTCAAAAGTGAAGAGAGATGGTTTTAGTTTATTAAAGGTGAGTAACTGTCAGTGGTCTGATTCTTCTAAATGTTTGATCTTTAATCTACATGGTATTGAGAAGTTTTGGATCCATTGCTTAAAGGAGAGTGTCATCTTGGTGCTTTGGTAGTGGAAGTTGTGCAAATGTGAGTCCTGATGCCTCTGGGATGTGTGTGCAGCTGGGTTGTCCAGGTTTAGGTGTTTGTTAGGATGAGCTGGTAAACTCCTTTTCTAGAATTTGGCCCCCAAGTCATGATGCGTCTGGCTTGCCTCATTCTTACCAGCATGTAAAATATGTGATGTCTGTCTGCAAGTCTAGGGTTCTGCTCCAAGACCTTGTCTTGGTGCTCCCAGGAGCCCTGGTGCAGCTGGGCTGTCTGAGCCTTGGGACCCCAGTCCCGAGATCTCCTAACTGCTCTGCAATCCTGTTCTCTGTGGCCTGTATTGGTCGTTATTCCTGTCCCTCACCAGCATCTTCCTCTCCTTGTTCCTCTCAGGGCAAGCCACAGGCCAGCTTCACCCTGCAGCTCCATGTGTGTTTATTGCCGAGTCTCTTGGAGAAGAATAGCTCATAGTGTATGATTAACACGTCACAACTTTTTAAAATTTCCAAGTCAGAAATTTTATGTTTACTTTAGTTTGTTTTCCTGTTTTTATTCTGTTTTTGTTCCTCTCCTATCTAGGTTGATTTTATTTAAATTAAACATTTTATAATTTTTAGCTTTCATTTTTGAAGGAATGTTAGATTGAACAAAATTTTCATGAAAACTAGCACAGAGTTCCTGGGTACCCTTATCAGCTTTGTGAAATGCTGATGTCTTATGTGGTCTTAGTACAGTTGCCAGAGTCGGGTCCAGCTGACTTGGAAGCAGTGCTGCGAGCTGACAGTGGGCTTATCCAGGGTCTGCCCATGTCCCACTAATGCCCTTTTAGTTTTAGGTTTCCTGTTGTGTTCCAGCGTTCTGCCTTCCTGGCTTCCTTTTCTGGGAACACCTGGGCATGTGAAAGAAAAACATGTATGCACGCACACACACATACACATCTGTCTGTACTGATTAAAAACTGTGAGTTCATCCAGTACCTTCAGTCCTAAGCCAATGTCACAGCATTTGTGATAGTGAGAAACCTGGCTGTCTTTATCTATTATATATTTACTTAACTGATCAATTCTGAAATACAAATTAGTTTCAAAGTTGTTAATCTACACTTCTCTGAAGAACAGATTTACTCTGGGCTTGGTGACCATGCCCGTGATCCCAGTAACTGGGCAGCTGAGGCAGGAGATCTCAAGTTCGAGGCTAGCCTGGGCAACTTGGCTAGGCTGTCTCAAAAAATAAAAATGGCTGGGGGTACAGGTCAGTGGTAAAGCGCCCTGGGTTCAATTCCCAGTACTGCATAAAGTAAAATAGAAAAAAAAAAATAACAAGTTTACTACTTGAAGTAAAATATTTGTGTACAGTTCTTTTTGTCTTTAGTGTAAGTATATATACAAAACATTGTGTTCCAGAGTTCTTAGATTCGATTTTTCAAATTCTTACCTCTTTTTAAAATATACATTTTTAATTTTTTAGTTGTACATGGACACAATACCTTTATTTATTTATTGATATGTGGTGCTGAGGATCGAACCCAGTGCCTCACGCATGCTAGGTGAGCGCTCTACCACTGAGCTGCAACCACAGCCCAAATTCCTTTCCTCTTTATTGTGGTCATTTTATTTATTTATATTATTTTGTTTTACTGTTTTTATTATGTTTTTGCTCCTCTCCTATCTAGGTTGATTTTATATTTGTTGAGTAAGTCAAATACTACTGTGGTTCTAAAACCCAGAGTCAGCCAGGTGTGGTGGTCAGTCTGAAATCCCAGAAGCTAGGGAGGCTGAGGAATTTAATGAGACCTTTCTCAAAAAATAAAAAGGACTGGGGATGTAGCTCAGCGGCAGAGCTCTCATGGGCTCCATCCCCAGTGTAAGACAACAAAAACAACTAAAGCCGAGAGCCACACGCAGAGAGTACTGCTCCTCCTCATCCTGCCACCCCTTGTGTCCCCCCCTTTCCTACCCGGAGACGAGCAGTTTCTTGAGTTCTGGTTTGCTCTTTCTGTATCTCCAGGACAGAGAGGACACTCATGCACAAGTTCTCACATCCCATTTCTTACATGCAGTGTATGTTGTAGTATTCTTTTTTTTGGGGGGGTACTAGGGATTGAACCCACGGGTGCCTAACCACTGAGTCACATGTCCAGCCCTTTATTTATTTTTAATTTTTTATTTAGAGACAGGGTCTCGCTGAGTTCCCTAGGTCTCGCCTCCTGAGTTGCTGGGATTGCTGGTGTGCTCTGCTGGGCCTGGCTACAGATACTATTTTGCTCTTGGCTTTCTTCCTGTAGCATCCTACCTTGAAATCATTGTATTTCTGTTTCAGAGGTCATCTTCCTTCGTCTGTCAGAGCAGCTATTCCTGTGAGTGGGTGTTTTAGGTTGTTTCTGTAATTTGCTTTACAAGCAGTGTTTAGGTAAATGACCTTGCATATATACTTCTACGTCATTGGAAGTATATTTTTGGGGTCAATACCTGCAAGTTGTTAAAAGGTAAGTGCACATTGTTTTGTTTGATGTGACTGTTGGGATTTCTGTCAACAAGGTGTGAAGTTAGGTTGCCCCACAGTCCTGCTGACACAGTGGCTTCACACATTCTTAACCTTTTAGCAGATAGAGAGATGAACATTTGTTTCTCTTGGATCTGTGCTTAGGACTGGTGTGGCAGGATTCTATGGTAGTGTGTGTTTAAAAGTATCTGCCAGAAACTGTCTTCTCAAGGGGATGCCCCACTTTGCACCTCGCGTGTTGGAGGGCTCCTGTGCCTTCTGTTGAAGTCAGCACTGGCTGTAGGAAGGCAGACGATGTTTTGACTAGTTTAACTTGCATTTCCCTAGTGGTCAACAATGTTGATCATCTTTAAACTATGCAATACTTGTATCTTCTTCAATGAAAGATCTGTTCAAGTGTTTTTCCTTTAAAAGAGATGGAATAAAAGATAGATTAAAATGGTTTAAAAATTGCCATCATTGAGTTTTGAGACTTGTTTATATGTTCTGGATGGAAGTTCTTTTTTGCTTTATCTATTTATGCATTTTGATACACTACAACTTCTCATTCCTCTGGCTATACATGGTTCAGAGTCACTCTAGTGTTCTCATACATGTATATAGGGTAATAATATCTGTGTCTTTCTACTGTTCTTCCCATCCCCACAGGCCTCCCCCTCCCCTCACTCCCCTCTACACAAACCAAAGTTCCGTCATTCTTCCCTATGCCCCCGCCCCACTATGGATCAGCATTCATTTATCAGAGAAAACATTTGGCTTTTGGTTTTTTGGAATTGGCTTATTTCACTTAGCATGGTATTCTCTAGTTCCATCCATTTACCTGAAAATACCATAACTTCATTCTTCTTTAATGCTGAGTGATATTCCATTTTGTATATGTACCACATTTTCTTTGTCTATTCATCTGTGGAAGAGCATCTAGGTTGGTTTCATAGTTTAGCTATTATGAATTGAGCTGCTATAAACACTGATGTGGCTACGTCACTGTAGTATGATGTTTTTAAGTCCTTTGGGTATAAACTGAGGAGTGGGATAGCTGGGTCAAATGGTGGTTCCATTCCAAGTTTTCTGAGTTATCTCCATACTGCTTTCCATAAGTGATTGCACTAATTTGCGGTCTCACCAGCAACATATGAGTGTACCTTTTCCCCACATCCTTGCTAACACTTATCATTTCTTGTATTTTTGATAATTGCCATTCTGACTGGAGTGAGATAAAATCTTAGAGTAGCCCCCCCCGTGGTGCCCCCTGGCACCATGGGGATTGAATGAACCCAGGGCCTTGTGCATGTGAGGCAAACTCTACCAACTGAGCTATATCCCCAGCCCCTTAGAGTAGTTTTGATTTGCATTTCTTAATTGCTAGAGAAGTTGAACTTTTTTTTGTATGTTTGCTGACCATTTATATTTCTTCTTCTGTGAAGTGTCTGTTCAGTTCCTTAACCCATTTATCAATTGTGTTATTTGGTTTTTTGGTTTCTTTTTATATTCTGGAGATTTGTGCTTCTCTGAGGTGTGTGTGGGAAAGACTTTTCCCCATCCTGTAGGCTCTCTCATCACATTATTGTTTTTCCTTTGCTGAGAAGAAGCTTTTTATTTGAATCCATCCCATTTATTGATTGTTGATTCTACTACTTGGCGCTTTAGGAGTCTTGTTAAGGAAGTTAGGTCCTAAGCCAACATGATGAAGATTTGCGCCTACTTTTTCTTAGGCGCAGGGTCTTTGTTCTTGTGTCTAAGTCTTTGATTCACTTTGAGTTGATTTTTGTGCAGGGTGAGAGAGGTCACCCTCTTAACTTCATTTTGCTATGTATGGATTTTCAGTTTTCCCAGCACCATTTGTAATAGGCTATCTTTTCTCCACTGTGTGTTTTTGGCTGCTTTGTCTTGTATGAGGTAACTGTATTTATGTAGGTTTGTATCTGGGTCTTCTATTTTATACCGCTGGTCTGCATGTCTGTTTTGTTTTTGCTGTTTTTGTTACTGTTGCTCTGTAGTAAAGTTTAAGGTCTGGTATTGGGATGCCTCCTGCTTCAGTCTTCTTTTTTTTTAATAGGAGTTTTTTTTTAATATTTATTTTTTAGTTTTCGGCGGACACAACATCTCCGTTCGTATGTGGTGCTGAGAATCGAACCTGGGCCGCACGCATGCCAAGTCGAGCGTGCTACCGCTTGAGCCACATCCCCAGCCCCGGCTTCAGTCTTCTTGCTGAAGATTGCTTTGACTATTCTGGGTCTCTTATTTTTCCAAATGAATTTCGTGACTGCTTTTGCTAGTTCTATGAAGAATGTCAT